AATTTTTTATATGACATTTATTCTATTTTTTTTATTTATCGAAATAAAAGTTAATTTTTATGCCATGTATTTATCATTTGTTTTATTTCTTATTTATGGGAAATAAAAATTAATTTTGCTGTGTATAAGAATAATTTTCATTTAAACGGCTCGCCCTGTTTTTAAATAACAGCAATTTTATGTAATTTTATATACAAAAATATCGTAAATTGTTGCTTGATCGATTGCCGAAACCGTATTCCACAAACACACGTGATTCCCTACAAGAATCCACATCAGTGATTGTACTGCTGGAAAACGGCTTACAGTGTGCGCAGCAACTGTCCTGAAATTAAATTTAATAATCAATCGTAACCACAAATCATGCAGTAAATCGATGGGATATTTTTGCGCGCCCTGACGCACACTACTACACAACCGCGCAATTCGTGAAATGTCAATGCGCGCGCGGCGCCCGTTGTACAAGGGACAATCGCCTTATCATTTTGCAAATGGGCAAATTATACACAAAATGCAAATTGCACACAGAGTGATCGTTAAAGATTATGTTGACACATGGGAAATATTCCCCCTCTGACATCTTCACACAGAGCGCTGGTTACATAAAAATATGTCACTGCCAGTAAAACTGTAAAAACGCGGGAAAGGAATGAAGATTGATATAGGCGAATCCCTGCATTTTCCGAAAAACTCCACAGCTTGTTTGGGCGAGCAAATCGCCGATAAGGATCAGCTGGAGAGCATTACACGGACATTTGCGGGATTCCTTGGGTCGGCATCTTAATCCCGCCGGCTTACTGTCCCGGCCAATGTGCCTTCTCACGCCGGGTTGCGTCATCCGAAGCCAGCGCATAGAGACGAAGGAGAGCCGGCTAATGCGATTGTGACGCAGCCGGCCTAATGAGCGACAGAGAGAGAATGCGATACGATCGGTCACTTGAGCACGCTGATTGTGCAATATGCCAGCGCCGTGGAAAAAACGTCAAAATGGCGGAACGAATAATTACCCCAATAAAACAGTTTCGGCGTTTTACTGCGTCAAGGCGATACGTTGATCACATAAGTAAAAAATCGGAAGAGCACGAAAAAGTTAATATTAATGGAATTTATTTTTAATTTATTGTTAAATTTTATCCGCTATATGTGCACGCACAAAACCTTATTACTAAAAAAATTACAGAGAAATTCTACCGATAGTCTCATTGCTCTGGAATATCTTTATAATAATTGTGTTTTTAAATTTATACGTACTGTACGAGCATGGTAATAAAAGGACCAGCCTTTATTAATATTAGAAAAATGCCAGAAAAATTTTGCGGATATTTGCGTGCAAATATACAAATTTTCTCAGTCATTTACAGTATGTACACTCGAGCGTTTTTCAATTTCCCCTTTGGAGAAACCGGTTTCCCGTCCACAGCCCACTTGTTATGCTGACCGGATCGAGTTAATATTGACGCAATAATAATGTAGTCGACACACATACAATCATACATCCTCCGTGTCCCCCCCCCTGCCTTTTCATTCGCCGAAATGCTAATATACCTGTGCCGAGGGAAAAAGGATGCATGTCTTTCTTGGCGTGGTTCTTATCAATAACATATTTGCCCACATTGCGGCTAATCGACTGACCGGTTCCCATTGCAGGAATATTCATTTCGACTACGATGAGTACCCGCGACGATCTACACTCGGCTGATTCAATTGACATGCAGCCATGCACACATGGCAGGATAGTTAAGGAAAAGTGAAATTTCTGCTGCCATGATACACACGGATGAGAATGATTAACGCTTGGTGGTCTCCGGATAATACGGGCCCGGGCTTTCTTTGCCTGAGATGGAATTAGCCAATTGTGCTCAGGCAGCTGGAAACGGGGTTTCAGGTGGCCGTAGTCAGAGATTTGCCTTTCATTCATATAAGGAATTACCGAGACAATTTTTATAGATTTATATTCAATTTTATTGTCGAGTATATATTTCGCACAGCTGCCGAAAAATCCGGCTAAATGCAAATTATTTTATTTCATCCTTTATCATTTGCAATAACGGCTAACTTTTGGACATCTGTGACGTGGGTGCGGTCCGAAAAAATAAATTTTTGTAATTTAATACGAGTTTGTCAAGTTATTCGAACGCTTCTTTATTTTTTCTGGAATATCTGAGAAATACATCTTGAAGTGCCTCTTCTTTGTGCGATAACAATCGCGCCGAAGAGCTGCAAAATGCAAATAAGGGGCGTGGCACGCCGGGAACTCGCTAGACCTTTTGTCGCCGTCAGTAACACTTGCAATATTAATGACCTGCTACCTCTCCATTCAACGCCACAACGCCGACTAATCTAACGAAATAGGACACCGTGCTATGATAATTGCGGCAAATTTTTTTCCCAATACGGATTTACAGCCACTTTTCTTCGGCACTATCCATTCTCCACGAGCATTTCCTATATACTGTAGATTTATAGTACAAAAGCGCACTTCCTTATTGACGATTAAGGAAGAATGTCCACACACCGCCCGATCCGCCATTCATCCAATAAAAAATGACAACAAAAGTGCATTTTTGTCAAGAAACCCGGGCGCTGACAAAAAAAATCGCCCATAATTGGATTGTCGATCGCTGGCTTTTTCCCTCTCATCAGAGAGAGGAACAGGCATCGCGCGCTGCATGGCATCGATCAGCGAATGAGAGTGTTCTATCGTTTCTTTATCCTGACGTCTTTTACGCAACCCACACAGCTGAAACAGTAGCCGGCTATTTTCTCTAAAGCCGCGCGCGCGCTTTCTCTGTCTGCACTGAGACGCAGCGAAAGAGACCAGAGAGAGACAAAAGCACAGACCAAGGCATCACTGGCATCCACTGTCATTTAGCTAAGTTTTTGCTTGTCTTTCCAATGAGCATTGTGTAATCGATGAATGCGTAATCACTCATCTCTCGGGCTCCCTCTCGTCATTGTAGCCGGTGAAGGTGCAGTGTGCATACAGAGGATATCCGTTGGTAAGGAATCGATGTGGAGTGCGCGCGGCCGGGGAGTGCAAGATGCTGGAGAGTCTTCCCGTCTTTTTGTCCCGGACCAGGCCTGACAGACCGACAAGTAGCCGCGGATGTCCCAGAGGGGATTAGACAAGAACACACGATGCGCCACCAGGAGAAAAGAGCCGCGCCGCTACAATGCCCCGTCAATATTTCTTTTTTCCTTGGCAAAACGGAAGAAAGGAAAACAGAAAATGCCAGCGCTCCTTAGAATTATTGACAGTAGCCCGATTGTTATGTAACCTTTGCCGCGCCGTGTATTGTAATAATTAGGAAGCAAAATTTGTAGAAATCGATTACCCCAAAAAATAAAATTATTCTCCCCAGTACTTAAATAACAAAATACTGCAAAAATTAACTTTTGAGGAGAGAAAATAAATTTTCTAGGGTTGAAAATTCATTGAAGATAAAATGGCTATGTGCCTCTATGTTTCGGACGCACAACACTTGCTAAAAATAAAAAATATTCGTGGCAATAATTAGCCGCAATTTTTATTTTTAATCGCGCATCAAGATGCCATTTTTCATTACCAGACTGAGGTGCGGTTTTTGTTACACAAACTCACAGGAAACTGACGTCATGATTATTTAAACACGCCACGCTATTTGAACCCCATCAGAATTTTGCGTGCATTTCGGGGGATTTTTCTTTCCGGCATGCCGGCGCACGGTCCATCGCAATGCATTAACCGGGGCACATTTGAACAATTTCGACCGGTGTCAGTATTTGTAGTGGCCATTTGGCCGTAGTATTTTGACTGGACCGGCTAAAATGCTAAATGCACTTCCGTCGGCAGCACGCGTTTACGCATTCACCCGTAACTTTCCCACCGGCAGAGTTCAAGTTCACTGCTTTTACCCTCTACAGAGTATAACGTGGTGGTGTTGTTTTTCTTGCAACGCTTGGACAATGGGACGCTGTGTCAACAGTGGTGCCATAAGCGACACATTGGCACAGGAGATGCTTAGTGCGTTGTAATGCGGTAAAACAATATTGGCCCATCAGGAAAAACAAGCCCGCCAATCGGCTGTATCGGCGCAAATGAGCACGTGTAATTGATATGCATTACTTATGTCAACTGGCCTGGATTTCCATCAAAACTCGAAAGAAATTCACAAACATCGACTAACAATTGCAAACTTTTCTCCTGTCTGATTTTGCGCAAAAAATCAATAAACGAAATTCGAACTGAGGAATTTTTTATAAACTGATGCAATTATCGCGTTCATTCGTTCGCCCAATAAATGTTGTATTAAATTTAACATTCCTTAACATCGGCGCATTTTAGAATTTCGCTAAAAAATTAAATTTAGAAAAGTGCTGCGTGCTGAAAGTTTTTATAAGATTGCTACCATTAATTGAATTTAGGCACGCAAATATTTTTCATGAAGTCAGGCAAAACGAATTGCTTAAAAACTCGCATCTTTTTACAGAGTTGTTTGATTTTGTTATTGCCGTCGAATAAACACGGTTAAGTGGTGTCACGTAGAAATCTCATAAAGATATCAGCGTAAAAACGAGGTTTATTGCATAATCCCTTTATCAGCTGTGCCGACGACAAGGCAGCACACCGAAAAACACCACCTCAATCACGCTGGAGTATCCAATTGAACCGGTAGCTGTTGACTTAGTGACCGGTTGTTAAACACGCGATACAATTTCCCCAACAAGGTCCGCCATCATAATCAGCCAGTGTTTTTTTGTAATATCGACGCCAACCGGCAACGCCAATAACATATCACAATGTTCAGCCACAATAACGTGTCAAAATCGGCAAATATTACGTGACTCCGCAGCTCCACTTGACTGATTATCCTTGTCAAAAAACATTATACTTCATGACAGCGCCTTCATCATGCATTTTAATGCCGCGGTGTAATTTACAATTTGACGCGCATGTCACGCCTGGCAATCACACCATCCCGCACGCTATTATGGGTGTTTTTTATTTAAAAGTTTCTTACCGTTGCTCGCAGCCGCCGGAAGCGGGAATAAACAGGACGAATAAACCCAGCAAATCCATATTAACACTCCGGCGTGCAGGCGCATTGGTGCATAATTATGTGCGCAATCTTCCCATCTGGTGATTAGTACGGGGGTGTCCGGTCACCCGGCGCGCAATCTGCGACGGTGCCAAGATCGTGCTAACCGGGCGCTATTTTTAAAAATAAATTATCCAAAAACATTAACCTTAACAGCGACCCGGCGTCCGTTTGCGGCAGTTCAACAAACGCCCGATATTATGCGGCTCGAGAAATATAAACACCCAGCACAGTCACGCTGTCTAATTAGTGAATGGAACAAATTGTATGAGTGAGTGTGTGTGTGTTGCTTATACAGTTGTCTTTGGTCGCTGGATGGAAATGGGAGAAATTAGCAGTGTGGTAGATTTGTTAGGGGATATAACGAGTTAAACGAAGTAACAAGGCCACTTGGCCAGCCGAAATCCTTGTTGAGGTTGTGTGCTCAGCTGCGGATGTGGCTGATGGAGAGTGTACGTGTGTGTATACACTGTGTGTACAGTACTAACAGTAGTGAAAGATGCCGGTGGGCGGCGCCAGGCCGGTGGTGGTCCAACAGTGGAGATGGGTGGGCGGGCGCCGGGCGGATGCGATCGGTTGCCGTACGTGGATGTGGGGAACGAGTGACCAGCCAGCAGAAAGAAAGGAACGAGCTAGTGCGGTGGTACTGCTACCACTGCTACTTTGTTCCTACAGGCTACAGCGAGGGAAGTCTGTATACTACACAATAATTATGTCTATAATGTTATTATACAGAATGAAAAAAATATGTAATAATTATTAGATTTACGCGCCGTTTTATTCTTTACGCACAACCGATCCTGAGTTTCCAAACAAGAGTCTAGAATTGGCACATTAACATTACTCTGTTTGTACGACTAGTATACAAAAATTTATTAAAATACCGAAGCCTGAGCCATTGATAGAACATTTTTGCAGTATACAAATGCCCGTATTCAAATGTACGTACTCACTCTCTATAATATGAATAAAAAAACACAGGCATTTTTCCGTACACGCATATAAAGATATACAGCTTGAATAGCCCTTATAGTTTATACATAAATATATTATCTAACAATCTACCCACGAAAAACAGCATACAATGCCATACATATATACAGCAGCATAGCTCACTGGTAACAAAAGGAGGCATATATACTGTATATAATATGCCGTAAATACATATGTCGCAATACACAATATTTTTGGGGCCGAGAATTAAACTAGCATTTAGTTGCACTCGTCAAATTGTGTGAACTGATAACAATAATATTTTTTATCCATACACGACGTTTTGTATCCATAGACCTTTACTGAAGTCTGCAGTCTGCACCCGTTGGTCAGAATCTTTTTATTCGCGTCAGTAGCAACAAAATTTTTCGCACTTTTTACATAAATCGTGAGAAACTAAATTAAAACACAAGCGAGTTACACCCGTTTATTTTGTGTACATAAATAATTTATTTACAGTGTATTAAATGTACTCGTACACGCGTAACGTAAAGTTAGAATATGTGGCTCTGGGCTTTTATATAACAGTAACAAGTATGTTACGTAGCAGCAGCACCTACAGAGTAGACAGCAGCAGCTAGATTCGTTTGTAAAACGCAATACCAGAGTAGAGCACTTGCATTTAAATGTAAATAAAAATAAATAATAAAGTAAATATGTGTAAGTATTATAATTGTGAATAATAGAATTTATTGTACTGGTGGCCACGTTATCTGTGCGGTACGTACAAAGTCCTTCACATGCAAAATGGTGCGCTTGTGCATGTACAGTACAAAATCATATTATTATGTACATGAATGATTTAAATTAATTTTAAACCTACGAAAAGAGCAAATCGAAATTCTTAGCGAAACTTGTTCTTATAAACGAATTGGTTAACTGGAAACACAGATATCGTATGTTTAGGCTTTAGTTGCATTTTGCATACCCTGCATTTCGTGCAGCGATTTTTCATTAATAATTTTGGATACCGCGTTAACAATTTAACGCTAATGCCGCAAATAAATTTAACCGGTTGCCGTCACATGTTCTACAAAATATTTACTCGTACATGAGCCTATCATCGCATTATTACAAATTTGTACGATCCCAATTCTTACTGACAAAGATGCAGCAGAATTTCAAAATAAATATAACCGCCTCCTGTTGAGGGTTGACGGTACAACCCAGCTGTCACCCACCCCGGTGGGCTGGCTGCAGATCAAAGCCCGGAGCACAGCAGCCGCAGCAGTGTCACTGCGTCAGTAGGAGCTGTAGAAACCTAAAAAAACATTTTCGGGGATTATCAGTCATTATCTGGTTGTTTTTCATGATCGCTTTCGTTGTTAGAAAAGCCCTACCTCTGTCGAAGTTCCTCTGTTCTTAGTTTTTGCCGTTTCTAAAAAGGTACCTAAATTGTACAACCATTTCTTTTATTATTGCACTACTTAGGTGTTTTGGTGTGATGCTTCGTGCTGCTGCATTCGAATCGAAACTTCTTTGCTGACTTTGCAGGAGACAGAGAGCGCGCAGATTCGTTATCCATTCATTTAGTTAACGACTGCTTTGACTGCGGACTATCCAGTCTACCACCATCATAATGTGGGATGAAATCTACCAGGCCAACAGTGTGGATGTTGTAGGCGATGACGGCATTCTTCGTTACGGACGCGTTGTGGATGAGGCTGACACAGGACTTTTCATCGACTTCCTCTGTCCCAAGCGAAATCGGGAATTCACTCCTTTTCATAGCATCTATCTCCCCACTGCTACGGAATCTTTGCATGTGCCTCACAGTCAGCCCCATCCTTACACCCAGATCCCCGTGGAAGCGCTGGTACGTGAAACCCGCTACGGTCCCTGGATGTGGGTCCCGGCTGAAATGGACAGTCTGCTGAGCGCCCGCAAGCCTTATACTTATAGGTTCCACATTCGCAAACCCAGTGGGTTCGACATGGTCGTTGTCCGCTGGTGGAACAACGGGGAGTCCCGCGGCGTCCTCCCCATGGCGCGCCTGCGTTGGAGGCACCCGGGACCTGGTGGATGGTGGGGCGCGACGGGACGGCCGGTTCCCCCGCAGTTCGTATCCCACCTGACTGGTTCTGCTGAGGGGAACCCTGAGGGCGTCATATTTACTCCGCCGCGGGCCGTCGTCGAAGGGGACTTTTCCAAGTGGAACACGCCATTGCCCAGTGGCTTTGATGGTCGGGTTGTCAGACAGCACCTTGATCGTTTAAACATGGAACTGATGTCGTACATGGGACGGAACTTTAGTTCGACGTGTGCTCCGTTCTGCTGTGTTGACATTGCGGTTGGACGCGTGAGGTGTATTAAACGCCTTGCACTGGATAAAGTTAGGGACAACGGCCCGAAGGAGGCTGCCCTGTATGACTGTCTGAAGGTAAGACACACCGGAATTTCTTTCCGGGTACACTTCCCTTAATAACGCAGAGTCGTTGGTGTACAGGTCAGTGAAGGGCCGTAGAGAGGCCCGAGCGCTGGGGGGTGCCCGTCAATTATATGGCAAAAAAACGCTCTCAACCCGGGAGGGGGAAGGGGAAGGGGGGGGGGGTGCGCGCCCATGTGCACCGCCTCGCTACGGCCCTGGGTCAGCGTAACCCATTTTAATTCGTGGTTCGCTCAGTCTTTGCAGAAATTTTTGGACAATGAGGCGCAATCTGGACGGCCAGAACACCCCATGTCCAACGAGGGCCACTGCGATGCAGCCACGCACAACGACAGCCCAATGGGTGAATTCAGTGCGCTGTCGGTGGACGTGTGGGTGGAGTTATTTTCCCACCTGGACGCGTGGGATCAGAACCGTCTTCGCGCGGTACACCCTGCCTGGAATGCCATGCTGGACTCGCCGGTCTTGACTGCCCAGATCGTTCTGGCGCCGGGGGACAGTGGTACAGGCAGGGTCTCGCGTGATCATCTCCTCTCCATGATGTCGACGGTATTCCACTGTCTGCGCCCATCCACCAAGTCCATTCTGCTGACCGCCGGACAACAGGAGTTTTCCGTAAAAGATTTCTTTAAACTGGTGAATGTGATCAATTACGTTGCGAAGCACCACACCGGGATGCGGTTGTCAGCGGTCTATCTGGTGAATTTTCGGTGCCAATTCCTTTGTCGCCGGAATGATTATGTACGCGGTGGGTGCTACTTGCATCCAGTCCCTCGCAAAAGTCTCGGCGGCGGGGGTAGGATTGAATATCTCCTCAAAGATTTCATCGGAGCATGTACTTCTCTTCCGTGCGGCAGTATGCGGCTGGCCGGCTGCGCAGTCCATCTGGCCATCGAGGAGGGAGAGTGTTGTCTCCTCATAACACCTACCGCATCGCCGCACGCCGTGACGTCACGGCTGCCGTTGGGTGAGGCTTTTGAATGTGCGCTGTGGGATGCGTTGGATGGGAATGCGGCCGTGCCGGACCAGCAACAGCTGGACACGCTGTCCAAATGGTTGACGGCGGATGATAGCCGTTACCGCACCAAGAACGCCTGCCATGTAAGTCTCCGATATTCGGCTTTCGGATCGTTTCTAGAGGGTGTAATCGCTCGTACTTCGACAGATGTACAGTATAGCAGTTTTCAGATAATTATAAAATATAATTATAGTTATAAATATATTATAAATAATTATAAATATAATTATAAATATAAATATTTATAATTAAGGTCGGATACAGCAACTCCACCTCGCTAGGTCGGCTTCGCGTACTGTATCCGTAGGCGTGGCCACTGCATACGGCCACCTCGTGCGGTTGAGCGGTACGGTTTATCTATTCAGTATTCAGCACTCCTAGAGAGCAGTTGACTGTGAATCAGGTTGGAAAGGCCACGAATCAGCTATGATTACGATAATACGATTACAGTACCACAATCGAGAAACACCAGATCACCGTGCGGCCGGATTGCAGGCCTAAATTTATTAGCACGTCCCGTACGAACGAAAGAAGAACGAAACTAAAATCAGGACTTGAAATAAGAAGCTTGGCCAGTTTCCGATAATGTGCGCAGTCATGCTGCGCTCTTGGTAAGCTGGTCCGAACAATTACAGGTAGACACAACATGGTGAACCGCTTCGACAGCATTCGTCCGCTTTACATACCAAAGCTAGGTTCGCTAAGAATTTGAGATCCTTGATTTTATTGCTTACCTATATTGCTTTTGCATGGAAGTTGCAGAGTATAGAACTTTTGTCTGGTGTGTGTAGATTTTGTGTCAGACGCAGACAGCGGATCCGCGAGCGTCTTCCAATTTCCGCGAGAAGAAATGGTGCTTTGACGGGTGGAGAGACGTGAAGTTGTGGAAAGACTTGAAGTGGGAACAACTGTCCCGTGTCGCGCTGCATTCCCTTATTCAACTGATGGAAGAAGAAGTAGAGGAAGAAAAGCAAAGGAATCTACGAAAAACGATCGAAGAACACGGCGCAGAAGAGAAAGAAGGACAAGAAGAAAATCTTAGGAAGCGTAAGAAATTTTAAAGTCTCTTGCTCCATGATGTCCGTTTTATCGGAATGTATTATCCGGACTCCAATCGTCTTGCATCTCAAGTGACGAGTAGTTTTATGTTTTTGGGATATGATAAATAAATTGATTCCGTATAATTTTGTTGCGCTGTTTGCTCTCTCCATGACATACTATCGTTTCTGCTGTGGGTTACTGTGGATGCATTTGTTAAAATCTGCGACAGTATTGAAGTTTATACGTACTTACCTGGTAATAGTGTGGAATTAATAAAAGGAAGCTGTACACGGGAAAAAAAGAAAAAATACCTACACCGAAAATAAATTAATAGAAGTAAAAGATAATGAAATTGATAATGATAAGAGACTCCCCGACGAGACAACTGTGAAGAAACCTGGAGAATGCTGGTTAAATCTGGCAACTCGGATCGTGTAGGTACGGTTTAAAGGGAAGGAATGCATCGTCAAAGCTTTGCTTCCGTTTCCTATCGGTTAACGGGACGTCGGGATATACTGGTTTGTGTGGAAGAATTCATCGACTGTCACCGGCTCGAACAGACACTATTTACCCGTACCGGAGTCAGCTGCCGTTTTGCTAAGCCGCTTTAATTTTTTCGTGGATTAATTATCATAAATTTTCCTCTTATACTTTTAATATTCTTCGTGGATTTCTTTGATTTCCAGTTTCATTAGGGTTTTCTTCGAATTTTTTAAGTTGTTTTGCCATCTCGTCTTCGTGATGGTCGAATTCGCGTGGGCGATCGCGCGACCTTGTGACGGATGACGAAGTGTTAGTCGCCGACAATCGACATAATGTCGATAAGCCGTCGCTGACGAGCCGCTCTGTCCATCGCTGGACGCACACGTTCTCTGTATGCAAGCAAGTAAATACTCTTGACCTTTTAAAGGCCTATACAACCGATCAATTGCGACAGTATCCAGGAGTTGTTTCACACTTTCACGGTACAGTCGTTGTTCACGAGGCACGCAGTAAAAACAAATCCAGGTCAAGTGCAAGCTTGGTTATTTATCTGTATACGAGCCGTAATATGGATCTGCTGCTATTCACACATGCAGATGCAGCACGACCACGCATAGCACAATCAAAAACCGCGATTGGCGACAAAAAGCAGACCTTTGTTTTCGAAATTGTACGCTTTGTATTTTGTGACACCAGACCGCATACAAACTTGAAACTACGACCGTGATACACCAGCTATCATTATGCGGGTTTCGGCAGGAACTTCGGATGTACACCGTTATTCAGCACCCCAGTGCCCTTCAGCTTGAAGGCCATTTCGTCCTTAGAATTTTGTTGGTGACCCCGTTGCTGGAGGCGTCATCTGACGGGAACACACAGCACACATCATTCTTGCCGACCCTGCCGGTGTTACCGGTGCATACTGGGGATTCCCCCACGATTCCGCCGGCACACACCGACAGATCGTTGCAAACGATACAGAGGCCGGTCTGCCCGTTGCTGTTCCGCTGTTCACAGGGGATCTGCGGAAGGGATCTGGTGTCCGACGTATCGCCGTTGCTGGTGTAAAACGTCTCCAGGCGGTAGTTGTCGAAGCTGAGGATCCGGTTAGTTGACGCCGGGTCAGCGTATACCGAGGGATTGGGGAAGCCTGTAACAGTTAATGGGCAACAAACTCGCGTAAATGATAGCGGACACTGATGGTGGCGCTCAGTTACGATATGACGATCAAGACGGTTTTCCATTATTTCGTAACCATGAAAGCCCCCAAAATTGAAGCCCCCCCCCCCCTAAATACAAGCCCATGCCCGTAATTGGAGCCCACCCCGTGGGTCATTTGAAATATTTGTAACCCTGGGCTTCTAATTCGATAATTACGGTATATACCTACTGTAACTTTATAATTTTTGAATGCAAGTACACTTGGTGAGCTTTATGGTTTACTTCTGAGACGCGATTTTTGTGAAAGCGGTGCAGTTATGACTGTTATGTTCATTGCATTTAAGTAATAAGCCTGAGATCCTCTACCACAAAACAACAGTTACCAGCAAGCAGTCACTATACCAAACACAATAAATTTATAAATTATAAATCTTTTATCTAACCAAGTTACAACATATCCATATTTGAATTAGTTCTGCAGAGAGATTCGTCTATAGGATCGCCAATTATTATGTAGCCGGAATGGCGTGTTATTCCTTTAATTCGTAGCACATGCAGCAGGCGAAATCATGAACGCAATAAACACAACGTGCGTACTACATGGGATGTACTGGGATGGGATACTCAACTTTTTTCGGCAACTATATAAACAACGGAATCTCGACATCTATCAAGCTAACGGTGTGGATGTTATAGGCGAGGACGGCCTGCTTCGTTACGGACGCGTTGTGGATGTGGCTGACACGGGCCTCTTCATCGACTTCCTCTGCCCCAATCGAAATCGGGAATTCACCCCTTTTGGTAGCATCTACATGGCCACTGCCACGTCGTCTTTGAATGTGCCTTCACGTCAACGCCATCCGTATGTTCAAATTCCCGTGGAAGCGCTGGTACGCGAGACCCCCTCCGGTCCCTGGATGTGGGTCCCGGCTGAAATGGACAGCCTGGTGAGCGACCGCAACCCCAATGCGTACGGTATGGCCGTTGTTCACTGGTGGAACAAAGAGGAGTGCCGCGACATCCTGCCCATGCAGCGCCTACGCTGGAGGGACCCGGGTCCTGGCGGATGGTGGGGCGCGACGGGTCACCGGGTGCCTCCGCAGTTTGTATCCCGTCTTACTAGTTCAGTTGAGAAGAAAACTGAGGGTGTTAAATGTAAACCACCCCGGGCCGTAATCGAAGGGGACTTTTCCAAACGGGACATGGCCCTGCCGGAAGGTTATGATTGTGCTCTTGTCAGGAAGCATCTTAATCGTTTAAACTTGGAACTGACATCGTGCACGAGGGGGTCCTTTATGTCCGAGAGTGCGCGGCTCTGCTGTGTCGACATCTCGGAGGGACGCGTGTGGTGTGTGCAACGTCTTGTGAAAGCGGTGACCATCCATTATGTGTCGATGGAGAAGGCCATGTGTTCGAGTTTGCAGGTAAGAAGTAAGAACATCAGCTGTCATAAGGTAGACCGTGAGTTGTTATGATACTGAGAATGACATCAGAGCCGGCCTACGCGGTTTTACCAGTACAATCGTGTGCTCCCCTATTTAGTATTAGCAACAATCGATCACTGCAATCTCCTCCCCTCGGTGTGGCGTGTTATCTGATGAAATGTTAAGTGTTAATCGTATTAAAAGAATTTCTTTCCTATTTAACAAATTATTTAGTCAGTCGTTTCGATTTTGAGCGTCCATTTTTTGTATTCAGAGCCAAAACAGGTGTCACAAATTTGAAAAAAAAATTGATTTAATTTGCCGGTATTCTGAACCAAATATTCCGGAATCGGATAGTGTGACGTACTTATGGTTAGTACGTACAGAGGACTTCAATAAATTATTATGGAGATAAAACTCTCAGCCGATAGCACTACTAGTACTGAAGTACATTACTTGCATGCTTACGGGTGGCCGCCGCCGGATATTGTGTTGACACAGTTTGCAGTCCTCATTATTTCGAGGGTTTTGATGCGAGGCAATGCTGTATGTGTACAGGAAACGTGCTCTGTCGCTGTTAAAAGGATAGACAAAGTACATACTCGTATATTACGTACTGAAGTGTTAACTGCGTGATTTTCTATTTCACTAATGAGTAATGTACACTTGTATATGCATGTAAAGAATCGATTAAACTTTACTATAACGTGTGCTAACGAAAGATTGACAGTGTAGAAGAAGCGATCAGCAGTTCATCATGCTGCTAACTAATAGGGCAGACTGGGTACTGGGTAGTGATAAATGCTGATAAAACATCTCAAAATAAAGATTTGTATACGATGTATCGTACGAGTGTTTCGTGCGTGAGTGGGTCGACTGCGCGACACGTCTTGGGACATTAATTTTGGTCGTGAGGCCATTCAGCATAGACAGTCGCCTGTGAGGACTATTCGAATTCAATGCGCGTGACAGTTAGCTGAAGGACATTCGGTTTTACCGCCAGTTCTTTTTCGTTGTCACAAACCCCCCTTTTTCGTTTTCCGCAACACTAATTGTCACCTAACGAAATGATTGCGCAGTGGGTTGTTCCAGAGCGAATTGCCGCTGTGACGAAACAATTGAAACGAAAGGTTCCGCGATCGCGGAGCGACGCAGTAACTTAACGGTAGATGTTCACCGATAGGCGTAGCCCGTTTTAATTCGTGGTGCGGTTAGTATTTGCAGAAATTCTTGGACAAGGTTCCAAAGTCACTACGCCCACGGTACTCCAGCGAACTGCACTTGGACGAGTCAACAGAGCACCAGAGCAGTTCACTGGGAGAATTCGGTGGGCTCTGTGTGGAAGTGTGGGTGTAAATGTTTTCCCATCTGGATACCTGGGAGCAAAACCGGCTGCGCGCGGTACACCCGACATGGAATACCACCCTGGATTCACCCCTCTTGACGGCGCAGATCGTCCTTGCCACGAACGACAGCGATACGGACTACATTTCGCGTGTTCGGCTCCACTCCATGATATCGACGATCTTCCACTGTCTGCGCCCATCTACGAAGCACATTATCCTGGCGGCTGGGAAGGGAATTTTTGATGTGAGAGATTTCTTCCAGCTGGTGGATGGGATCAATTACGTTGCACGGCATCAAACCGGGATACGGTTATCAGCGATCTGTCTGGCGAATTTTCGGTGCCAGTTCTTATGTCGTAACACGGCACAGTTAACCGGTGGCTGCCATTTGCATCCGGTCAAATTACTTGCTCGCAAAAGTACGTATTGTATCCGGTATGAGAATCTCCTCAAGGATTTCATCGTAGCCTGCAGTTCGCTGCCGTGTGGCAGTATGCGGCTGGCTGGCTGTGCCGTCCATCTGGTCATCGAGGATGGCCAGTGTTATCTCGGCATAACACCTACCGCAGCGCCGCTCAGGGTCACGTCGCGGCTACCGTTGGGTGATGCGTTCCACTGTGCGTTGTGGGATGCGCTGGATGAGAATGCGGTCGTGCCGGATGAGCAACAGTTGGGAAAACTGGGCAAATGGCTGACGGCGGATGATGAGCATTTCCGTGGCAGAGGGCTCTGGCGGGTAAATCTTCGATGTTTTGCTTGATGAAACATGAATCACCCGCGTACTGTGCTGCTTAATTTGAACAGGCAGCCAAAACCGGCTTCAAAATTACATATTATGGAATGGCAGTACTTCGACGTTTTTCG